GCTAAGATGAAAACAAAGACAACAGTATTAAAGAGTCTCCAAGGAGCTCCAGCCACTTGGTGGGACCATAGGGTTGAAAGAAAACCTCTCAGGATGGCCTCTGTCTGCTCCTGTGCTTTGTGCAGGTCAGCGAAGGTTATATAATCCTTCCTTGGCATGGCTGTTGCCTTCTGGTCAAGGACAATGCAGGCACAGATATCCCAATAGGCAGCTGAGTCACATGGTGGAACAGTGAAAGGACAATGGAAGAACCCCCTGGATGGAAGGGTGGCGAGCCAGAAAGAAGACAGTTATTAAAGCAATCACCAAGGTGAGTGAGAGGGGAGAGAGCCTTGCTCTCAGAAGAAGGTCCTCTGTGAAGGAGGACTTCCTAAGGAGCCAGAAGAAAGGCTTTCTGGAAGGAGAGCAGAAGTTAAGAGGGCATTGTTGCCTGTGAGAAGAACACAAAAGGGATGTGGTCCCTTAGCTGCTAGAGAAAGGTGGTGTGGGCTGGGAAAGGGGGCTGGAAGTGGGTAGGGACTGGGAAGGCCCATAGGAGCTCAGTTGGGAGTTTCTGGGGGAGGAGATGGAGTGCCAGGGAGGCAGGAGGCCCATCTCCAGGGACAGTCATCTCCCACTCTGTGGCCATGTCTGCCCTGGGCTACATTTGCCCATTTTTAGCTCCAAATCTTCAGTAAATCCTGTCAAACACAGAGCATGTGTGAACAATTTGGGGGAGAGGGGATGAAGGAAAAGGGGGTGCTATCAACAGGACAAAGGGAGCAGAGATGGATAGGGGAAACAGTGCTGGAAAGACTGTTCTGTGTGTGTTAACTAGTTCAGAAACTGTTTTACTCAGTTTGCTTTAACATATGTATACTTGACATAATGAGCTTTTTATCCTTTGTTAATTTTTTTAATGGATACTGATCATGTCATGGCTCAAAATTCAAAGAGTATCAAACAAGAATAGTGAAAAAACTCTTTCCCAAACTTATTCCTTCAGACACCTGCTTCCCCTCCCTAAAATCACTCATACTAGCTCTTATATCTTTATGATTTGATGAGAAATAATCACATGTAAAATTATCTCTTCCGGAATTACACAAACGACACACGATGTGTCACAAGTTGCTCTTTTCCTTTTCCGTGTCACCCCTCCTCAATCTTGTTCTGAATTCATATGATGCTCCTTTAAACGGAAGCACCATAAGAATTCATCAAGTAGTTCTGAGTTGATGGGTAAGTAGGTTGTTTTCCAACTTTTACTCCCATAGAAATCAGTAAAATTAATAAATAAGATATAACACAGGTTAAATATGAATTCAAAATGCCAAAAGATTTGAGAGCATTTTGCATTTCAGATTTTTTGGATTGGGGATGTATAACTACTAGTCCAGCCAAAATCTGAAAAATTCCTGGTCCCTAAGCATTTGATAAGGAATACTCAACCTGTATATTATTAAAAGTGCTTTCATTGTCACAAGGGTACAGGTGATTTTTTTCACACCAACACACAAGTGTGATTTAATATGTCAGATGATAGTTAATATAGATGTGTGTTGAAAGCATTGTCACACACATATTTGATTCAATGAGATATACTGATAAGAAAGATTGGTTTTTATAGTTAGAAACAGTAATGCATTTTCAAAAAGCAAACCATGTAAAGATTAAATGATTTTTTTAATTTATTATTTTAATTTTATGTGTATGAGTGTGTTGCCTGCATATATGTAAGTTCACCCATGTCATGCAATGCCCGCAGAGGTCAGAAGAGGGCATAGGATTCCCTGGAACTGGAGTTACCTGGAGTTACTGATGGTTGTCAGCAGCCATGTGGGTGCTGAGAACTGAACCTGGTTCCTCTGAAAGAGCAGCCAGTGCTCTTAACCACTGAGCCATCTCTCCAGCCCCAAGACTGAGTAATTTTTGGCATCCATGGTAGCCAAATCTAAGGGAAATCACTTAAGCAATAAAGGCAACCTGGGAAAAAAATGAGGTCCACCCACCCTGACGATTGAAGGAATTCTGAGTGTGGACTAGGGAACCTGGACTTGCTTCCTTACCTTGCTGCTGTGAAACTGTAGGAACACAGAGTGGCAAATCCTACCCTGTGAATCTGGCAAAGCTGTTCTGAGGATAAAATGAGATCTGGTTGTAAACCACGAACATCTCAACTGGTATTGAGTCTTGTTATTCATATATTGCCTGCTGTATCATTTCCTGAAGGCCAGTAGACATTCTACGTATGGTAAAAAATTCTAAAAATACATTTCATATACAAAATTTCACTGGACATGATCATTTTAATTAAATGCATGGAATGGTGACCCAAATATATCACAATGCTTTGAAAGCTGATTAAATAAAGAATCAGAAAGTTTACCAATTGGTACTGGCTAAACTATTGCAACTTTAAAAAATCCTTATGTGCATGAGTGTTTTTCCTGCATGTATGTAACTGTACCAATGTTGTGCAATGCCCGTGGAGGCCAGAAGAGGTCGTCAGATCCCCTGAAACTGGAATTAATAGACAGTTGTAAGCTGCCGTGTGGGTGCTGGGAACAGAACCTGCGTCTTCTGGAAGTGCAGTCAGTGTTCTTAACTGTTGACCCATCTTTCCAGTCCCTATTACAACTATTTTCTCTTTGCTATCTCCCCATCTGCCCACCTCATCCACAGTTATTAAAATCAGATTTACTGCAAGCAAACGTGACAGGAGGTAAACCTGACCAACACTCAAATGTGATGGGATAGGTAAAATCTTTTGCCAATGAGCACCATTGATATTCTTGGATTCATTAGCAGCATAGACTTCCTGGATTCATTTGGAAATAATTGATGAAACAAATGGGTGAGCAACATTTGAGTGCCTTGAAAATGAACATGGTGACATGTCTGGCTTTGAAAAATTCTGGGAAATGACCCATTTCACTCATCAAAACTGTTAAGACATGCCATTGGAGAAGCAGACAAGTACCCCAGGCTCCCCTCAATCAATCCACTCACGTTCCCACTACCTCTGCTTTAGTCCCTGCCTCCATGGAAATAGGTCACTGACCTGCCCTTAAGGGAAATAGAATCTCTGGCAAGACTGAGACTTTTAATAACTGCACTTGTCAATATATGTCAGAGAGAATGGATGGATTCTTATCAAGTTACCTCCTAAGCTGCTAACAAAATGAGTGGCCACAGCAGGTGACCAGACCCAGTATCCAGAGTATTCGCCAGGAAAAACAAGCATCACAGCATTAGTGTCCAGGAAAATCCACACCGCCAACACCTGTCCATCAAACCACTTGATGACTAGGACTCCTTTCTTCAACATTGCCCCCCCCCCACCAAATCAAGGTGCCTTGGTTTATTCAATGTGATTATTAAAATGATTAATTATTTCTTCCAAGGTTATTTTGCTAAGCAATAAATAAGGAATATCTACAGAGAATGATATATTTTGTCCCATTTCCTGATGAGAATAACACTTAGAAACCAGCTTTTGTTGAGTGAACTTCCCTTGACATTGTATGGCCTGCTGCCTGTAACACATTGCCTTTTTGGCAGCCCTGTTCTCTAATTCAGAAAAACAAACACCAATTCAGAGTTTTATTTTACAATTCATCTTCTGATTTATCATGTCTGAGAAGGTCAGCTTCCAGATTTTCTATTCTAAATTACTGCTGAACAGATTTTACAAACAAATGGTTTTCAACTGGACCAGAAAAACTCTTAAAAGTTGGGACTCAACTCTCTCTCTCTCTCTCTCTCTCTCTCTCCCTCCCTCTCTCCCTCCCCCCTTTACTCTTATTAAAACGTAAACAATCAGCAATCCCACAATTTCCCAAATCAATTATTTGTAAAAGAATACACAGGTGCTGGGGAGATACTAGAGTTATAAAAAGAAAATAGCAAATTATTTTTTCATGGGCCAGCTGCTCAACTGATGTGATGCTGTTGAGAAGGTTGGTTCTTGGAGACTCAATTAGCAAATCAATTAACACCATCCCTGACTGCCAACACACTGGTTGCTGGCCCTCAGAGCTTCTTGGTGAACCTCCATCTGATGCCCGGTCCAGTCATTCAACCTTAGCTTCCTTTGGTTTCCACCCACCCTAGGCACCAGAGGCCCATTCTAGTTTAATCAAAGATTAGTAACCACCAGAAGGAGCATCACTCACCATCCTGCCCTCCCTATTCCTCTCGGTCCCAGTCCTAGATTGCCTTAAAACTGGATGCTGATGGTGTGGCTGGCTGTCATTTTCCCTCAGTGGAAAGTAGATATAACCAGACAAAGCAGATGGTTCCTAAAGGGCACATCCAAAAAACCTGCTAGCCAACTGTGGCGGTGCCTTTCAAATAAGCAGCAAGTTACTGGAGAGGAAAATCAAATCTCCTGCCATTGCCGCGACATACCCCAGACTGTACACTCAACCAACTCAGGAGTTTTCTAATCCCCAGTGAGGTACAATGTGCTTTGCAGGAACAAAAGACATTCTTTCTAAGCCTCATAGTGATAGTTATCATCTCTATGAATGTTTCCATGTCTGTCAGTAAATCCTTCATCTATGTTAGGCCATCTTCAGGAGATGGCTTGTCTTGGGTCCATGGACAGTCACACATGCCTAGGACAGACAAACACAAATGTCATGTCCTTGGTTAGCTGGGTAACTAGAGATGGAACCTGCAGGTTGCAAGTGGCAATTTAAAACATGTTTCATGTGCTGGTTCATCATTAAATAATAACTGAGTACTTTTTCTTACAAACTACAAATAAATCCACAAATGATAATCTGTCCAAGCCCTGCCTCTGACTTGGGTAAATCCTTGAACATTTCTAGGTCTAGGTTTTCTCATGCGTAGCACATAGGTGGTTGAGCTGGAAGATGTTTAAGGTCCCTTTTGGCATCCCAATTTTAAAATGGGGAGGAGTCTCCTCCAACATTTTGGCAAATCATGGCTCATTAACCTTCTCATTCAGCGAACACTGAAACCGGCAAGCCAGTCCACGAAACGGTACTCACCTTTTCCACCGGTGTGTGTTCCTCACTGGTGACATTTGCTTTTCTTGATTCATTTTTAGACCTGCTCAGCCTTCTGGACACTTTTTCTCTGAGGAGAGTGGCATATCCAATGTGTTCATAGATGGGGTTCGTGGTCATTTTTGCAATGTATTCAGCAGCCTTTGTTTCTATGTACAGTGTTATCAAGCCATCTGTTACCAGGTCATGAATGGATTCGAACCTCTTCTCGCCCACAAAGTGTTTCCCATCATGGAAGAGTCGGTAGTTTAAAGTCTGGTTTCCAAACCTGTCCGGCAGAAAATGGAGTATTATAACTGTGAGGAACACAGACTACAGATTTAAGTGTGTCCTTATGTCAGGCCTGGGGCTGGGTACTTGCTTCTAATTATCTTAGAGCTCTTTGAGATGGGTACAATTATTACCTATGTTTAACAGTGAGGCAACTGAGCTGTGAAGAGCTGGGGCTGCCTGCTAGACATTACATGCCTGGAATGAGGTAGATGGGATCTGATTCCAGGTCAGATTTGGGGCCATTTGGTATTGTAAGTCACAGAGGTTATTGAATCTACCTTTCTCATTTGTAAAAGTTGGAGGGTAGCCTCGATAACCTTAACCTATACATTTCCTTAATGGGAAATGACAATTACCTCTGCAAGGGACTTCACCACCACTGACCATGATGTCCTCTTATTTTATTACGTTTTTGACTGCCACACATGGAGCACCCCATATCTGCTACCCAAATTAATACAGCAGATGAGAAACATCAGGGGTGTACTAAATGTCCCAACATTTCTGGCATCCCTGCAATCTCACCTGCAGGGTCCTCTGCTTTTGTTACTGGCCCTCCTCTGTGGACGCTAGTCTTCATCTCAGAGACCCTGCTGGATTCTCCACCAGAACTGCCTGTACCTGGGCTAGGTGCTAGGAAAGAGGAAAGTACCCTGCATGCTTAGAGTTCTCAATAGCTTTTGAAATACTTCCTCATCACTGCATTGTTTAAGATATGTTCTAGACATCTCCAGTTGCAACTTGGAACATTTCTTTGCAAAGCCACCCTATGGAGATGGTGCACTGAACCCATAAACTTCATGGGCTATGCTGGGAAGGCTTTCCACTGGACCCAGTCTTTCTATGAAGAGAGCACTTGTCAGTTCCCAAGAATCCACACATGAACTTCTGGATAACAATATAATTTGAGTATTGGGTAACCTTCCTGAAACCTCCTGAGCATCACTGCAAAGAAAAAACGGCACAGAGTATACAAGTGCAACAAATGCAGTGCTATTGGGACTTGTGATGTTGACCAGAGCTCAGGAGATGCTCGTTCTATTGGCTTGTTGGCACGTTGCACAGCAGCAGTCATTATGACAAATTTGGGGTCAAGGTGATCTCTGAGAGAACTTGTGAACAGTGGTTACATGTCTACAAAATGCCCACACTTGATAACCAGCTACACCATTACCAAGAAAACACACACACATACACACACACACACACACACACACACACATACACACACACACATACACACACATACACACACACACACATACACACACACACACACGCAAGCTCTGGCATGCTGTTGGCACTTTGGAAATAAACTGAAAATAAAAAGATAACGGAGAGCAAGGGATTGTCTGTGGGTACTGAGTTTCTGTTTGGGATGATGAAGACGTTCTGGAGTTGGATAGTGAAGATGTTGCAAAATGTTAATAACATATTTAAAGCTACTGAATCACCTAGTTAAAACAGTGAACTTTACGTTATGTGTGTTACTGCAAGTTTTAAATTTTTATTTATTTATTTATTTTTATTTTTATGTGTATGAGTGTTACGCCTGCGTGTGTAAGTGCACCTGTGTTGTGCAATGCCTGTGGAGGACAGAAGAGGGTGTCAGATACCCTGGAACTGGAGTTACAAATGGTTGTTACCCACCTGGAGCCTACTGGGATTTGAACCCAGATCCTCTGCAAAAACAGTCAGTGCTTTTAACTGCTCAGCCATCTCTCCAGCCCCACTACTGCAATTTTTAAAAATTAGAAAAGCATAAAGTTCACTTTTTTCAACAGTGAGGTAAAAGCAGTTCACCTTAGAGCTAGTGTGTAGCACCCTGGTTGCCGCTGGCTTTCTCGAAGGATGTATGCACCTTCCACGCCTCCGAGGAGTTCATCTGCCTGCTCCCTGGAGATGATCCCGTGAAACCTGGGGGGACATAACTGTGACTGCTCTGAACAGACCATGTACAACTCAGTTACTACCAGGACTAGGCTAAAAATGATGGTTATGTCTCCAGAGTGAAGAGGGGTGTGTCTACTTCACATTTTGTAAATCCACTCAGAAGCACCTCCCAGCATGTCCCAAACAGATGACCGCTCAAGACTCTAACACAGGAAAAGCACCCAGTTTGTAGGCTTTCTGCTCTTGTCTTTGCTCTCAGGCTGAAGATGAAAATCGAAATGAAAGCCAGGTTATGGCTTCTTTCTAAACCATAGGGAATAACAAAAGAGCAATTATCAATTTATCTTTCAGTTCAAACAACAGGAACTATGGATTATCCTGATTGCAAATGAACACTTATTGATCAGCAACCTGCTTGCTTCAGGTGCTGGGCGTTGTTGATTTTAGAGGCTTATTCTCTGAAAAGAAAAGGTAGCTAGAATCCACATTCTTTTAGTCCTGTACATTTTGCGAGCAATTGTTTAGGGATGTATTTAGAAAAAGGACCTATTTTTCTGTTTGAATGATAATGCTCATCTTTTTTTTTTCCTAGCATTATAAAAGTAGCACACATGTATGTAGACAGTGTGGCATACTGGGGGGAGGGGTGTTTGGATTGGCTAAGGACTGCATTGGTCTCCTGAAGGCAGCTAAGCCTTGGTCAGTGACTGGGGAGGGTGAGGACCCGTGGTGGCTGGGTGGGCTCCACCCAATTGCCCTGCTACCTTTTAAGCAAAGATGGAGGCATAAACATTCTATCCACTAATGTTTAAGAGGAAGGAGGCTGGAGTCGGGAGAGAGACCAGTGCTCAGGAACTCTAAGCTCCTGGAAGAGGAACCAACACCTCTTTCTAGGATTACCCAGAAGTAGAAAACTTTGGGGAATAAATCAGATGAAGAATTTTCTGGGCAAAACCCCCAAATTTATTGCCTTGGAAGAGGAAAGGAGAAAGGGAAGTTAGCTAGACAAGATTTTTTTCCTTTCCAGGAATGAAAAGATTGTTTTTTTTTTATTCTCCTACTTCCCTTTCTTTCAATAGTAGGTTTTCCTAGGTGATGTTCTTGACCCAGCAGAGCAAGATCAAAAGGAGCTATGGTTCTGTGCTCCAAACTCAGCTCTTAGGTCTAAGGCAGTAATAGCTTGGGAGAAAGGGGCTTTATGGTCCCCTAGGTTTTGTTTTCAATCCCAGGAGCCAGTGCTTGAAGCAGAGCTTTTCTGAGAGCAGTGGGATGAGTGTGCTGGGATGTAAGAGAAATGAACTATCCTGAATAATGAGGGTCTCCTCTGAGAATGGTGATACCGAGGAGGCTGGGGAGAGCTTGGTCATGATCATTGGGTTCTCACTGGGTCTTGCACACTGTGTGTGAAACTGAGAAACCAGGAGCTGAGGGGTTTGGGGCTTTGTGAATGAGACCACTGGATCCTGAAAACATCATAGAGAAGCCTGTGTGGCATGAGTTGGGCAGGGAGGGCTGGCAGTAGCCTTGGCAAAGAGACCCAAGGGCAGCCTTGCAAGTGTAGTGGAGGTGACATGGGTACTGGACACAGGGGTAGGAAGAGCAGAGGACGTGAGAAAGTTTCCCACCAGAGTTAAAAAGGACAAAAGCTGGTGCAGGAAGAGCTGATAGGATGGGTGTTCGGGACATGCCAGGAGGTGCCACAACAGAACGAAAGAGGCACAGGCCCACTGCAGAGGGCACAGTGACCCAGTAACCTGCCTTGGTTTACTCCTGCAGGGAAAAGGCAAGGATGGGGAGAGTTCCAGAAGGTGGTGAACACAAAGCAGCTAAACTGTAACTCTCTTGAACTAGCAAGTTGAAGTGATGACCAGGAGGCATAGGTGGGTATCGAGAATTAAGTTCAGCTGTTCAAAATGTAATGACAATTCTGTGCCCCTGAAAGTACAGTCTATAACTCTTTACAGTTTTGAAAAAGTCAGAATGTCTGTAATAACGGGACTAAGGTAACAATGATTCTCTTTCACGGGGTGGAGACAGCTATAGATATTTTCCATCATATGTTTCCCCATATATTTTATTTTTCAAGGTTACTATTTACAAAGTAATACCAAATAAAACTAAGTATTAATTATGGTGCTGGATACCTTTAGTTGTCAACTTGACAGACCTGGGTTGAGGGAGCCTCAGTTGGGGAATTGCCTCCATTGGACTGACTGGCCTGTGGCCATGTCTATGAGGCATTTTCTTGATTGTTAAGTGATATGTGAGGGCCCAGACCACTGTGGGTGGTACCACCCCAGGTAGGTGGTCCTGTATATAAGAAAACAGACTGAGTATAGGCCAGGGGATCAAGCGTGTAAGCAGCACTCCTCCATGGCCTGTGCTTCAGCTCCTACCTCCATGTTCCTGCTCTGAGTTCTGACCTTGGTCTCCCCAGTGAAACGTGACTCAGGAGATGTAAGCATCAGTTGCCTGGAAATAGGATGTTGGCGGAGTCTCAGAGTCTGGGTCTCTGTGTCTGTGTCTGTGTGTGCCACACACAACAAAGGTGAAAGTCAGAGGACAAAGTGCAAGGCTTGGGTAAATTGTCTTGGTGGCAGGCACCCTAACCCTAACCATCCTGACAGTCTCTTGTCACTTTCTTGAGGACACAGAGTCTGACCCCACAGGTCACCCCCCCACACACACACACAGCAGCAGCAGCAGCAGCTTGGCTGTGCTGTCATCAGAAGCAGAGAGCAAAGAGTGGATGAAAAGAGCTTCATTCCCTTTATGGCAGAAAGGAACAGATTCAGGAGTTTCATCAGTAAGGGAACAAGCACTAGAGTCTCAGGAAGAGCCAGTGGAGTCTACGGGAGTAAACAAAGGCACAGAGCCCAGTTGGGGAGGGACTGGCCCAAGATCACCAAGGTCAGGCAGCCCTGTGTCTGGACTCTCCTGTCGGCTGGATGTCCACCATCACGACTGAGTCCAGTGCCCATTCTGTCCTCCAGTTTCCTGGACTCAGGCTTGCCTGTACTTCCCAGCTTCTGCTCCCTACCCTGAGTCCTTGGCAGCTTTCTAGTCAGCCAGTCAGTCAGTCAGTCAGTCAGTCAGTCAGTCAGTCATCAGTCAATTCCTGGCACAGAGAAGAATCAGCCTGTCTGAGGTGGGGCCCAGCCAACCCTGAATTTCCACCTTCACTCTCTCCTCCTTCACATCGGAGCTGAGTCCAAGTGTTGTGATATAGGACTCCCTTGCTCCCTGGATCGTCCAGCTCAGGGGACTGCTACCACGTGCATGCACCTCCTCCATGGCCTGTGCTTCAGCTCCTACCTCCAGGTTCCTGCCCTGAGTTCCTACCTTAGGCTCCTTCAGTGATGAACTGTGACACTGGAGATATGAGCCAAGTTGGTATTTATTGGTCAGAGTGTTTTGTTACAGCAATTGAAAGCAAGCTAGAACAACTATTAACTTTAAAAATAAAAGAAGTAATTCACAATGGTAATACTCAGAATTGAAATGCTGACAAGTTCAGAAGAAGTAAAAATTTAAACAAGACAGAAGTAAATACTCTCTTCTCCCTGTGCAGGAGAAGTGCTTCCTGAAGAAAGTGTGTATTGCTTTTTGAGTAGAAGAGAAGAATACCTTCACCTTTTAAAAACAAGAGAAACAGAATCTGAAAGTTGTAAATTAATTCTCCTCTAATATAAATGTTCTTTTGTGACTAAGAAAACACACTCTTGCCTTCCTCACTCTCCTTGATTATAGGATTTGGAAGGTTGGAAGATGAGAAGAAAAGATTATTCGATCAAATTTTTATTTGAAAAGGAAAACACATAATAAATACAGTACCTTTTGGGATTCTTGTACAAAAGTATATAAGGTAGACCCTATTCACCCTCTCTCTTTTTAAAAAAACTTATTGTGTAATTTTCAAGCAAACCCCAAGTCAGGATATCAAGAAATAAAATCATGCCTCAACATAGATGAGCTTTTGGAATATGAGGGTCGATGAGCGGGGCCTGCATTCCTGGGCTTATTCAGAGGGCCTGGCTGACTTCTCAAAATCTGACAAAAATGGTTCTGAAATGCAGTTGCAGCCATTTGGAAGGAGCACTGGGCTGAGACTTCTGAGAGGGTCTTTAATCATGAAGCAAGGCCCTGCTGGGTGGGCAGAGAAGACGAAAAGGCCTTGGATTGATCAAGAGAGCTTGGGCGGTGGACTTAGAGAGGTTTCACCTTTTCATGTCTCTAGTTGACCTTAGGAAGAAAAGTAGCTGTGTACTACCTCTCCCTGTGACCATTCCACGGCCCTCTTTGTATTCTATACATCACAGTTTTGGACTGTAAATTACTTTAATAGTCACGTATATTTTATTTTGCAATAGGTTTCCAAGGAAGTCAAACAAAGCTAGAGCTGGAATTCAAAGGAAAATGGGACTGAGTGGGTGGAGGGAGAATGAGGGTGGTCTTAAGGCAATTTGGTTAATACAGCCAAGTCTGGAGAGATCAACCTTTTGGTTTTATGACACTATGGGGAAGTGGGATACCCTTCCAAACCACTGTGTTTTGAGGTTCATGAAAGTCAGGAATTCAGCTCTATCGTCTGGTCTTTGGCACCCTATGTGTTTATACTGTATCAGGGTAGATAGTGAAATGAAATGCTAATGGAAAGCCCAATTATGAAACACACTGCCTTCCATTGCACACACTTGCCAGGCACTCAGAAGCTGCTTTGTGGAGAGAATTGCAACACAAGATTTCCCCCTCCCACCTTAATGGAAACTAAGCAACCGAGTGTTGAAAAGAAAATTCAATACAAAGGAGTCTGATTGCGTTTATTCTTATTATTAAACTCTGACACAGTGGACCTGTGATGAAGACTATATATTAGAGAATTTTTAATATTTAAATGACATAAACTGGCTACTTATTAAATTATTAAAACAAAGAATAATATAATACATACTCTCTTCCATAATATTTTGGTCTGTTTTCCACCTATATTAAAAAGAAGAAAAATGTTAATAATGCATTTGAATTCAAATCAGCTAGGTAAAAATGCTATTCAAATAAACAGCTAGAGTCTCAGTTGTACTTTTATTATAGATTTCATACACCAAATCAGAATGAAGCTATGGAGTTAATCAACACATTCAACCTTGGAGAGAAATGATCTAGAATCATTACATTTCTCTATTCGTTAGGCTCATTTCCACTCCAATCCCAATCATAATAAAAGAATTTTCAAATGAAACAAAGTGTTGCTTATTTTAAATGGTAAGAATTTATAAAGATATTTAGCTTCATTCTAAAAGACAAGATAAATACTTCTAGCATGAATAAAGCATAAGCATTTATTTCCAACTTCATCTAATCGTTTTGTTTTGTCCTTAAAAAAAAGTGCACCTGGATTAAAAAATAAAACAGATTTAATTTGGTTTATTTCCAAAGAAAATCGATATTCTGACAGTCTTATTTTTTCAATAAAGGCTAATAATGGGCCACATTTGATTTGACACCAGAGGCACAGGATCTAGAAGACAAGATTTATAACTTTAAAACCATGCACATTCCAGAAAGTCTTCTTCCATCCCACCTTTGACCTTTGGATTACTGGGTCGGATTTGATCACATGCATGGTAATGTTTCCATAAGAATTTTTTGCTTCTGATGTTTGTGGTATTGGAGTTGGTAAGAAATTAGCATGGATTTTTGTACTCAGCCTCAGTCCCCAACTCTAATTTGGACCCTTAAATGGAGTTGAGTCACATAGAGTTAGGGATTTTATTGGTAGCAGCACGTCTTTAAGAATGGAGAGGCATTTTAGTTCACTTCTATTCACTGGCAGCTGTTTTGTTTGCAGTTAGTTCTATCTACAGTCAAATGAACTGTTTTCTTAACAAGGCTCACAGAGAGGCACAGTGGTTGGATTTCAGGATACTAAGCTGTTTCTTCATCTACCTCTGTCTTCCAAAGGATACAGGGTATCCAAAAGGGAAAATCTCAGAAGGGAGAACCAGGGCTCTGAAGACCACCTCAAAATTCTGTATAGGACAAGCCTAGCTGGTACACAGTGATTATCTAAACACTTCTAAACTCGTATTTGCTCTTTTGTGCACTTTATACCCAAAAAGCACCCAACCAAAAGGCTGTTCACAACTCTTGATTTTTCAGGTGTGAAGTCATTTTTATGAAGAAAGACTTAATAATATTATCAACTGGAGCACATAGTATGTAAAAAGGCCCCTGCTTAGCTGACGTCTCTTCTATAAAAGCTGTGTACCATTGTCACGCTCTACATTGATAAGTTTTTAAATATGAATTGAACATTTGTAATAATTCTATTAGCTTTCAAAGTTCTTATTCATATGATACTATTGATATTAAATTGCAACCCCAATGTACCATGGAAGCAATTTAGAACTAGAAAAGCCAATGGAAATAGGCAATATTTAGCAGTAAAATACTTCCCTATTTTAAAAGATGTAATATTCCAAAATTTGAAATTATTCCTTCTATTGAAAGAAATGTTGTCATTACCATTTTTTTTTTGTTAAGCCATAACACAAGTTATAAAATCTGGGTGTATCTTCTAGCCCTACTGAGCCCTCTATTCTCATTTCTCCCAAAGGAGATAATTAATCTGTTTTCTCCTGTGGACAGCATGGCAGATAGCATCAACTTCTAACTCCTGGAATGTAGGCAAGAAGTTAATAAATGTTGAACTCAATTGTTTCTTAATAAGACAACAATTACTTTCAGTTCATTCATCAGCCAGGGAAATACATAGCACACATATTAGATTGAGAGCTCTGTGCTCAGCCCTGTCATTATTCAGGCAGCAGTTCCCTTGCAAGTGCAGGACTTAGCTATGAAGAGCTTGTGGGGTTCTGTGCTTCCAAATGTGGGAACACTTAAGGAGAAACCTAATACAGACTACCAGATAGGAAAACCAGTATTCACAGTCTCCCAAATATGATCTTGCTCAGGGGACACTTTGAACTAATTGAGGGACATATATCCTGTGTGAAACCACTAGAACATAAACCAGGAGGCTTGAGTCACCAAAGACACCAGGCACGTAGGACAGAGCCAGGGAAGAGACCCCCAAGTATCAGTAGAGACATGTGGTAAAATGTTATTCCTTCTTCATCTGAATTAAAACAGATAAACATCCTGGTTTTCTTTGTTTTCTCTTCATGAGCTTTACACAGGAGGAGAGGAAAGACACAAAAAGAGTAAAGACAAGGATGTGTTTGGCCCCCTGACCACCGCTCCTACCAGTCAAGGTCAAACCTGTTCTGATAACAAGCTCATCTGATCTCTTTTCCCTTTGCTGTCTCCTTGACTCTTGCAGAAAATATAGCTGTCCTTCTCAATGTTAAAGAGAGAAAATGACTGGGATTAAAAAAATCGTCTTTTTCTTTTCTTAAACTTTTGCTTGCAGAAGTCTAAGCAGAATGTCTCTCTACTTCGCTGAAACTTCAACCAGCCAAAAGCTTAATATTTAGGTAAAGGAACTTGGAAAAGTCATACAACATTCGCATTTCTAGGTTGGTTAAGAGTAGATCCTTGGATCCAAGTGCAGCCTAATCAGCTGGGTATCTCGGCTCAAAGGGATAAAGGTCCTGCCTGGTGAGACTGGTCCTTGCTCTGTGACCAGTAGTATCTTAAGGAACCCCATCCACTCTCCCCAGATCCTCAGCCCCCTGATAAGACTCAGGGTTCACCTGTGAAATTCAAATATTTTTTTCTTTTTGTGTGTGTGTATGTGTGCATTTGAGTGTGGCATGTATGTTCATGGTGTACGTACATATGTGTATGAGTGTGCATGTCTGTGGGGGCATGTGGAGGCCGGAGAAGGACATTGAGGTCCTTCTTTGTTACACTCAACATCATTTGAGAAGAGAGTCTCTCACTGAATCTGGCACTAGACTTACAACCAGCAAGTCCCAGCAATCTTCCTGTCTCTGCCCCACCACACTGGCTTTATAGGCCCATGTGCAGCCACACCTGGCTTCCTTTTCACTTGTGTACTGGGATCTGAACTCAGGTCCTCAGGTTTGTACCCTATGCTGGATAACTTCAGTTGTCAACTTGACACATCTGGTTAGAGGGAACCTCAATTGAGGAATTGTTTCGATTCGCTTTTCTTGTGGCAGTGTTTGTGAGGCATTTACTTGATTGTTGAGTAATGTAGGAGGGCCCAGTCCACTGTAGGCAGTGCCACCCCAGTGCAGGTGGTCCTATGTTGTATAAGAAAGTAGGCTGAGCATGGGCCATGGGAGCAAGCTGGTAAGCAGCGTTCCTCCATGGTCTGTGCTCCAGGTTCCTGCCCTGAGTTTCTGCGATGTTAGACTGTGCTGTAAGCCAAATAAACCCTTTCCTCCCCAAGCTGATTTTGGTCAGTGTTTTTATCACAGTATTAAAGGGTAACTAGAATACACCTCAACTATTCTTACCCACCAAACCATCTCTCAGGCCCTGTTTTTAAGTTTTAAAATTTTTTAAAAATTTTATTTATTATTTTTATTTTGTGTGTATGAGTGTATTGCTTGCATGTATGTGAGTGCACCCGTGTTGTGCAATGCCATGGAGAGCAGAAGAGGGCTTCTGATTCCCCTGGAACTGGAGTTAAGGATGGTTCGTAGCTGCCATGTGGGTGCTGGAATGAGTCCTCTGCAAGAGCAGTCAGTGCTCTTAACCGCTGAGCCATCTCTCCAGCCCCATGTTTTTTTATTTTTAAAGAAACTGTAGCATTGAATTTCATTTTCCAACTGTATGAGATTCTCTTCTGTAAATGTGAGCAACACAGAGGACAACTGATAGGTAAAACATCAGACAACTCAGAAAGTAGAACACTGTGTTCATGAAAACGTAAGGACATCATAAAAACAGGGCTACATTAGATGATGAAGGATTCAGGAAGGGACACAATGTTACGAAGTTTGTTTCTGAAGCTTCACAATCACAGTGAATGTGAATCTCCTGGGACAGCAGTTAGGGTCACCCTGGGGGAACCTGGCCACTGTGAATGAGGCTAATTCATGCTGGCTCTGCCTGCTTGCTCTTGAAAATTAGTGCTCCAACTCTCAGAGGTGAAAGAAGCTCAGCTATTTTTTTTAACGAAAAGTAGAAAAGTATTCATCGTAGACAAATGGCCAGGTCCTCTAATACTGGGTCCCTGTATGATCAGAAACTAGCAGCCGTTGGGGAAGCAGATTCTTCTTGACGCACAGAAGGCACAGGTAGAAAGATGATCATGCAGAATGGTGACTGACTCTTTCTAAAATGTAACTGACTTTTTATTCAAAATAAGCATCATTTCCAAGGACTAGTCCTCCAGGGTTGGCAATACATGTCATAGTTGTGCCTGTTGGCTAAAACATTCCTCTTTTAGAACAGCCTTAAACTATACTTCCATTAAATATCCTTACTAGGGAACTTTTCAAAGTGTAGTGTGACTATTGAAAATAGAAACCTGCCAGGTATAGTGGCTTGCAGCTTTAATCCCAGCACTTGGGAGGACAGAGGCAGGCAGATCTCTCTGAGTTTCAGTTCCATGTCAGCCAGGGTGCCCTCAGAGTAAAGCAAAACAAAACAATGACAAACAAGACCCCCCAAACCTCAGTATAATTGTTAAAGATTCCTGATCCCCACCTCCTAGCACCTGAGCCAGAATTATTAAGGAGAAGAGATTGTGTGTTATTTAATGAAGCCTCTCACTCCTCTGCCAGATGATTTTAAAGCAAGTGAAAGTCATATATATCACATGCCTGTAATCCCAGTGTATGGGCACCTGAGGCAAAAGGATTGCTAAAAGTTTGATGCCAACCTGGGTTATACAGCAAGTGCCAGGCCAGCCTGCATAGCCAGACCATAACTCTCTATCTATCTTGATGTGGGAAATGGGTTTGAGAGTGGATGAGTTATTCAGAACCAATCCAGTGACTAGATTGAGTGATCAGACTGGAAAGTACACTGGAGAAGGAAGCAAG